TTAAAATTAAAAAATATATAGGATGAGAGGGTAAAAGCAAAATGCTATTAGAGAAGTGTTATTCCACTTAGACWTCTCTAGTAGAGATTTTGGAATTGTCAGACCTTGGATGCCATTCTAAATAGTATATTATACACTATTCCATCATTTTAAAAATTTAACAAAGGATTAAAATCTTCACTCCTTCATCAATGCAGATAGGTACTGATCATTTGCCAGATTAGTTGGAGGTAAATAATGAGGTATACAGTAGACTGAGAAAATGAAATTTCAAGTTGTTTTTAGGGAAAGAGGAAAATAAACCTTTATGTAATGTTTACTGTTATTTTCTTTAATTTCTAATGATTTCTCCCCTATTTCTTGTCCTTAATTAATTTATCTTACGTGCTATGTATGTCATCAGCTGCTAAAACCTAACTATCAAATGGTAAGAGCTCTATTAAGACTAGAAATGAACTCTCTGGCAACTAACTGTGTCCTGCTGCAAAATGCTTTATTTCAACTCAAATGATTTAACTAATGTAATTACCGATCAGGTCTTTCAAGAAAATATACACAGTTTAATTCTTATGATGAGTAAATACAGGCTCTTAAATAAAAGATTATATTATAAAAATACCTTTGATTGTCTAGTTCATTATAGAATTTCCTGGTATGCTCATTTATTCATGAGAAATACTTAAAGCACTCCAGGTACCTAATAGGAAATTAGATATAGCTGTATCTTAGAGGAAAATAGAAAAGTAGACTGTCTCATAGTATCACTGTACAATCTATCATTTATTATAATGGGTCTGTAATAGAAACAGTTTGTACAGGAGCTAAACAACTGATTAACTCTGGAAAAGTAATTTTTATATAGMTACAAGTGTAATTAAGTTAAACCTGATAAAGCGTTCACCTTTTGTGAAAGCAACTCTTGCTTAAACCACTATTTTTCTCTTGTAATTGCCCTCTCATTTCTTCACCATCAGCCTTTCATCCTCTTGGATCAAACACACTGCCAAACAAGTTCTAAGCTCTCTCATCTTCTAATAAAAGACATACCTGCTTGGCCCACAACCTTCTACTTACGTTACGGTTTTCTGTGTCTATTTAGAGCAAACTTGAAGAAATTCTCTTTTCTCACTGTTCTACTGCTGGCTCCTATGCTTCTCTGAATGTTATCCACTGGAGCGTTGAACCTTAGCATGCCCAACAAAACTTTTCTTTATGGTCAACACCAATTCTAYATTCCTGCATCTAAAAGCGTGTCTGAGACCTAATGAAATTGACCATCAGCACAATTTATGAAGCCTTCCTTATGGYCATGTTATCTTCTGTCAACATCTGTAACTTATTTTGGCTTCCTTATATTTTTTACTGGTTTTTTTTTTTTTCAGTCTTTCTTCCCACCTTCAGAATCAGGGTTTCTCTCCCTCTAAACTGTTGGTATTTTGAGCTAGGTAACTTTTTGCTTTGAGAGCTCATTCTGTGAATTAAAGGATGTTTAGCAGCAAGCCTCACTTCTGCTCACTGGACACCAATAGCACACACACACACATATACACACCTCTAGTTATGACAAGCAAAAATGACTCCATATCCAGCCAAAAGTCCCCTGAGAGGCACAAACACCCGCAATTGAGAGCAACTTGGTCTAAAGTAGAGCAGTGGCATAGGGCTTGGTTGTGGGCCACCAGTTCTTTATCTGTGTAAAAGGTGCACTCATCTCTCCCATCTGAGAAGTGATCCAGAAAGTTAACACATTAGGATAGAAAATATTCTGAGTAACTCTGTCTCCTAATTTCCTGAAATTCAGGCTCTATTTTAATAAGGGGGTGGGGGGGGATACAGCTCAGCAGTAGAGCGCTCGCCTAGCATGTGTGAGGCCCTGGGTTCGATCCTCAGCACATGTAAAAATAAATAAATAAAATAAAGGTATTGTGTCCAACTATAACTAAAGAATAAAAATATTTTTTAAAAAAGAAGAAGAAAGCTTACAGTTATGAATACAGACCTAAGTACACGGGAAAGTGATTTTGACCCAAATATATCTCATTTAGTGCAAAGCAAATGTAAGTTCAGCTCACTTCTCCTTAGCCACATCCCCAAAATGACCTCTGTAGGTCCATCACCAACCAGTGATGTCAGAATGGAAAGAAATTGCAGTCTTAACTGATAGATTACAGTTAAATACATTACTTTTGGGGAGCTTACAAAACAAAATCCACACGAATGTGTTTCTGTGGCCCTTTCTAGAACCTCAAATGAGGCTTATGCAAGAGGAAACCCTGAATCTTCTTCTGCTTCTAAGTAAGATACCACATGAAATGCTTTCAATCTAAACCCAGTAAAACTAGATACTGTCAAATAGATACATAGTTTTTACCATTTCCAGGCCTGGGTCTCCTGGCTGCAAACAAGTATCTGTCCCTAAAGCCCTGGAAAAGAGGAGACTAGCACTCCTCCAGGAACTGAGTTGAAATCCGATAATTTTCTGTATTTCTGGGTCATTATTTTAGAGGTGATAAAAGTAGGAAAGTAAGCAGAGGTTCAATATAAGTTTTCCATTCTTTGCATCATGACACACTTCCAAATCACTCTCAAATAAGGGAATGTTAAGTGATGTTTCATTGTTAATAATGATAACTGTTATTTATTATTTAATACATACCAGATTCCTTGTCCTTTTTGCAAACCCTAATTCTTATAGAAACCTGTGAGATTTATCATTTACAAATGATGTGTGAGATACAATGAAGTAATATAAGTAAATGCTAATTATTAGAAATCTATCGGTTTTTTTTTWWWAAAAAAAAAACAAGATCTTTTAAGCAAATTATTAAACTAATGTTAAGATTGTGACTACTTTGTAAATGAAATTAACATAAACTTCTGGTTATATTCTAATCCGTGTTCCTGATATTCTTTAGGGATTTTGCGTGTTTAATGAACTTTAGTCAGTTTTAGCTATAACTAGGACTAAAGTTCAGGCTATAAATACTTTCTCAATGGCATTAACTGTATTTTCACATGGAATCTTTTGAAGAGTAATTCCATTGGCCATTATCTTTTCTTTCAGATATTGGTTTTAAGTTTAAATTTCTTTTTTTCCTGCTCTGCTTATGTTGTATCCAGAAATACTGTGGCAAAGTGATCTGCTGTCTTTTCTGTTTGGAAAGTTCCCAGAAAATAATTGTGTAGAACAGAGTTTTCTTATTTTTACAACATGGTAGGAATAAAACAGTCACCAACAGCTGTATCATTCTAAAAATAACCTGTGCCACACAACTCTTAAGCCCATATTGGTTTTTCAGTCTGATGATATTATCCAAAGGATCATTGCACATGATACTAATAAACATAATAATACTTTATTATGGTGGTTCTCATATTTTATCTATTTATTTGTTTTTTAAATTTTTTTTCAATATAATATTTATTTTTTAGTTGTAGTTGGACACAATACCTTGATTTTATTTATTTATTTTTATGTGGTGCTGAGGATCGAACCCAGGGCCTCACCCSTGCCAAGTGAGYGCTCCACCGCTGAGCCACAACCTCAGCCCCTATCTATTTATTTTTTATTGGTTCTTTTTAGTTATACATCATAGTAGAATCCATTTTTATATAATTATGTAAGCAAGGAACACATCGTACTCTAATTGGGACCCATTCTTGTAGATGTACACAATGGTGGGATTCACTATGATGTATTCATATATGTACATAGGAAAATTATATCAAATTATTTCCACTGTTTTACCTTTTCCTATCCCCATCCTTTTCCTTTATTCCTCTTTGTCTAAGACACTGAACTTCTATTCCTCCCCT